AAATTTCTGAGATACAACGCTTTAAAAAAAAAATTTATACAATTGGCTTTATTTAAATTTTACACAATTTGGACAATTTGCTGTTACACCAGTATATATATATTTCTTTAAAAAAAATAAAAAAAAAAAAAACAGGGATCCAACTTTGTCTGTTGGAAATCTTTTAAAAGGCAATATTTATAGCAATTTCAAAATATTTCACAAAATCTTTTAAAATTAAAGTTTCTCAATTGATCAACATTTTAAAAGGTCAAAATGATCTGTCGAAATAGAATAGAAAAACCGTAAATCTTATGTTTTAACAAAACTTTTATTTTACACTCTCCTCATTTTAAGCAAATCTTGAGGCTGGGAAAAAACTTTTCAATTACCCGCCACCCATACTTTTACTTTATTTATCCCTTAGTCTTGGACTTAGTCTTCTTCTTCTTCTTCTTCTTCTTCTTCTTCTTTCTATTCTATTACACCCAATCACGTGCATTTCTTTTCTTTTCTTTTAATTAATATAACGTTCAAAACTTTTTTTTCAAAAAGTTAAAATAAATAATTGTTTAGAAAAGAATTTCCAAATATCCTGAACGGATATAATATAGAAACCAAGATAAAGTTTCAACTTTGACCTTCTGATTTTTAAAGTATATATATATATAAATATATATATATATATATATATATATATATATAAACAGAAAGAGACAAACAAACTTTTTATTGATAATAAGGACCTGGGATTATATATATATATATATATATATATATATATATTTACAGAGATAATTTTAGAGACTTGCGCTATTGGGTCATATTGATAAAAAATCATTTTAGGATACCATAAGTTTTAAAACCAAGAAAAATTAACTGACCTCCTGATTTTTCAAAGTACATAATATATATATATATATATATATATATATATATATATATATAGTTATATATATATGTGTGTGTGTGTGTGTGTGATTTTATATATATTGTGTCAATTTTCATTGATCGTACTCAATAACTGTGTTGTCGCTAAAAATTCAGTTTTTTATGGATATGATCATAAGCTAAGGTTTCATTCTAATTTACGATCATGACAATAAATATATAATATATATATAAATATATATATATATATATATATATATATATATATATATATTATTGAAAAATAAAAGTATAAAACTTAATATTACGAGACATATTAAAAACGGTATAAATAGGTGTTTCGTCCCGCTCTTTACGGCTTCTTTGTAAAAACAACGTGAATGTTTTTGGGGCTCGCTGTCATTTGCCTCTAGTTCCTTTTTGCTGTGTTAATTTTAAATTGCATCTCCATTTATAAAGCCTGAATTGAGAAATAAACAATTTCTTTCAAATCAAAATTTTTAAAACAACTTTAAAATGTCTTTAATTATATCTATATAAAATATATGTGTGTGTGTGTTTGTGTGTGTGTGTGTGTGTGTGTGTGTGTGTGTGTGTGTGTGTAAATATATAGAAAAATAGGAAAAAGAATAAATTAGGTTAATAATATTGAAGTTCTTTAGTATTTTTTTGTTTTATTTTTAAAAAAGAAAAAAAAACTTAGCTCAAGCCTAAGTAGGCCTAAATATATTTATATTAATATATTATATATATGTTGAAGATACTCTAAAAAATAATTGTTTAAAAACGTTTCCATATGTAATTAATATATTGAATAGATAATCTTATAAAGTGGCAAATTCAAAGATTAGTTATTCAAAAATTTTTGAAGATGAAAAATACATTGATACTTTAATTCAATTTAAATTTTATAATTAACATTAAAATTTAAAGCTGTTTTTTTTCAAACGAAACTCTGATGTATGCGATTCAATCATATTTTTAAAAATATATATATATATATATATATATATATATATATATATATATCCATGGATGTTATGGTTACAAGAAATAAATTTTTAAAATGTGGAATAGAAAAATCTTAAACCTGGCTTTTCTTTAAAGATTTTTCAACCAACATTCACAAACGTTTAAATATTGATTCTTTTCGTTTGTTTTTTTTTTTTTTTCTTTTTTTTTTTTTATTTTTTAAGAAATTTTATTGCTATGAATTTTTCAAAATTCATATTTCGGAAAAAAAAATGTTTAAAAAAAAAATGAAAAGAAAATTTGCTGGAATTTTTTTTTTTTTCTCCAAATGAATAAACCTTTATCTATTAAACTATATACCCTTGAAATAAACTGTCTGTTTTATTTTAATTTGCCGAATTTTAAATTTTCAGAAATAAAAATTGCTTCCTTTGATAGATAGGTTTATGAACACAATATTTTAAAGTTTATTTATCTACACTTTAATGCTTCAAAAAATTTCTTTTTTTGAATTCTCTCTCTTTTTCTCTCTCTCTTTAATCCTCGTTATCAATTTTTTATTTCTTTTTCAAATCTTTCTTTCTTTCTTTCTTATTCTTTTCTTTTCTCTCATTCTACATTTGATTCTTTTGAAAAAAAATTTATTTCTTTCCTTCTATTTTTTCTATTTTTTTCTTTCTTTTCTTCCCATCTAAATTAAATTTCTTTTTCATCTTTCTTTCTTATTTCTTTCTTTTTTTTCTTTTTCTTTCTTTTCTTTTTAGGAAAAAAAATCCAATTCTTTTCCTTATATGTGATAAAATTTTCGTTTTGTTCTTTTTCTCTCAAAATTTTCTTTCTTTTTTTTTCTTTCTTTCTTTTCTTTTTTGTTCTTTCTGTCTTTTCTTTCTCCCCCTCTGTTTTTTTTTTTTCAATATATTCTTTCTTCCCATCCATTTTTTTTTTCTTTTTTTTTCTTTTCTTTCTTTAATTTCTTTCTTATTTTTTTTATTATAATTATATATTTATTCATTTTTTAATTTATTTTTCATTTTTTTTCTATATTTCTGTATTCTTTCTTTCTTTCTTTTCTTCTTTTGATCTCTTTTTCTAAGTTTCTTTCACTTCTTCTTTTTTTTCTTTTTCTTTTTTTTTATTTGCTTTTTTCTTTTTAGGTGAGATTTTCCCTTCTTTTATTCCCTTTTGCATTTTGTTCTTTCTTTTTTGTTTTTTTTTTTAATAATTCTTTCTTTCTTTTTTTCTTTCTTTCTTTCTTTCTTTTCTTTCTTTCTTTCTTTCTTTTTCCTTTTTTTTTTTCTGACTTTTCAAGCCTTCTCTGATTTGTTTCTTTTTTTTTCTCTTTTTTTTTTTCTTCATTTTTTCTTTTTCTGATTGTTCTTTTTTTTCTTTTTCTTTTCTTTCTTTCTTCAAAGAAAATTTTTTTTTTTTTTTTTTTTTTTTTTTTTTTTCTTTTTTTTTTCTTTCTTTTCTTTCTTTCTATTTATTTCTTTTTGTCTTTTCTTTATTTAGTTTCTTTAATTTTCCTCTTTTCTTTCTTTTTTTTCATTTTTTCTTTCTTTCTTTCTTTCTTTTCTTTCTTTCTTTATTTATATTTCTTTTCTTTCTGCATTCTTTTTCTCATATTTTTTTTATATTCTGAAGTTTTTTCTTTCTTTCTTTCTTTCTTCCCTGCTTGCAATTTTCTTTCTTTTCTTTTTTTCTTTTTTTTTTCTTTCTTTTTTTCTTTTCTAACTTTTTTCCACAAACATTTTTTCTTTTTTCTTTTTTTTTTTTTCGTTTTTTTTTTCAAAATTATATTTTTTTTCTTTCTTTTTCTTTTCTTTCTTTTCTTTCCTTTTGGAAAAAAGGCGGATTGGTTCTTTTGGCCGTTCATTTATTTTTTTTTTTTGTTGAAATAAAAATTTCTTCTCTTTTTTCTTTTCTTTCTTTCTTTCCAGGAATTTTTTAGAAGAGTTTTCTTTCTTTTTTTTTGTCCGCATTTTTAATATAGTTTTATTTCTTTATTTATTTTTCTCTTCCTTTCTTTCTTTCTTTAAAATTTTCTTGGTTCTTTTTTTTTTTTGATTTCTTTCTTTCTAGTTTGCACTTTTTTCATTTTTTTTTCATTTCTTTCCAAAAAGATTCACCTTTCTTTTTTTTTTCTTAATAAAATTTTCTTTCTTTTTTCTTTCTCTTTTTTTCTTTCTTTCTTTTTTTTCTTTCTTATTTTTCCTTTTCCTTTTTTCTTTCTTTGTTTCTTTTTAAAATCTTTTTTTTTTTTTTCATTTTATTTTTTTTTTGTTTTTCTATCTTATTTTCTTTCTTTCTTTCTTTATTTTTGTTTTTTTTACGTTCCTTCATTTTCTTTCTTTCTTTCTTTCTTTCTTTCTCTCTTTATTTAATTATTTCCTTCTATATTTCTATTTTTGTTTTTCTTTCTCAAAAATCATTCAAAGTTTCTTATATTTCTTTTCTTCTTTCTTTTTTTCTTTTTTTTCTTTCTTTTTTTTAATTTATTTATTCCATCTATTTTTATTTTTATTTTTTTTTCTTTTCTTTCTTTCTTTTTTTTCTTTTTTTTTTTTTTCTTTTATTTGAATTTTTTATTTTTTCTTTTTTTTTCTTTTTTTTTCAAATTACATTTTTTTTTTTCTTTTTTTTTTTTTTTTCTTTCTTTTTTCTTTTTTTTTATTCTTCTTTCTTTTTTCTTTCTTTTTCTTTTCTTTTTTTCTCTTTTTTTATATTTCTTTCTTTAATTCCCATTACACCAATTCTTTTTCTTTCAATTTTTCTTTATTTTCTTTTTTTATTTTTTTTTTTTCTTTATTTTCTTCTTTTTTTTCTCTTTCTTCTTTTTTCTTTTTTTTTCCCTTCTTTTTTTTTTTTTCATTTAAAAAACTTTCTTTTTAAATTACATTTTTTAATTTTTTCAGTCATTTTCTTTCTTTTCTTCTCTTTCTTTCTTTCTTTTTTTTTTTTTCTTTCTTTTTTCTGTTTTTTGTCTTTCATTTTTGTTTTTTTGAATTTTCAAAACTTTTCATTTTCATTTTTTTATACCTTTTTTTTCCGTTCTTTTTCTTTTTTTTTTTCTTTCTTTTTTTTTTTTTCTTTTATTAACTTTGTTTTAAATTTTATTTTTTTATTTTTTTTGTTTTTATTTATATATTTATTTTTTCTTTATGTTTTTTTTTCTTTTTTTTCTTTCTTTCTTTACTTTTTTGTTTCTTTCTTTCTTTTTCTTAGGACTTTTTTTTTTCTTTCTTTTTTTCTTTATTTATTCTTTTATTTTTTTTTTTTTTTCCCTTTTATTTTTTTTTTTTTTTTCTTTCTTTTTTCTTTCTTTTTTTCTTTTTTTCTTTTTTTTTTTTTTTTTTTCTTTTCTTTCTTTTTTTTTTTTTTCTTATTTTTTTTTTTTTCTTTTTCTTTTTTCTTTCTTTATTTATTTATTTTTTTTCTTTTTTTTTCGTTCATTTTTTTCTTTTCTTTCTTTTTTTTCATTCTTTCTTTTTTTTTTTTATTTCTTTCTTTGTTTCTCCCTTTTTTTTCTTTTTTTTTTTTTTTTTTTTTTTTTTTTTTTCTTTGTTTTTTTGTTTTTTTTTTTTTCTTCATTTCTTTCTTTCTTTCTGTTCTTTCCTTTTTCTTTTTTTCATTTTTTTTTTCTTTCTTTCTTTTCTTTCTTTTTTTTTTTTCTTCCTTCCTTTCAAATTTTCTTCTTTTTTTCTTTTTTCTTTTCTTTCTTTCTTTCTTTTATTTTTTTTTTTTTTTTCTCCTTACATTTAAAATATTTTTTCATTTTTTCTTTCTTTAAAAAAATTTTTTTTATTTTTATTTTCATTTTTCTTATTTTAAATCAGTTTTTTCTGAATTTCTTTCATTTTGTTTTTCTTTTTTTTTTTTTTCTTTTAATTTTCAAACTTTTTTTCTTTATTTCTTTCTTTTCTTTCTTTCTTTTTCTTTCTTTCAATTTTTTTAGATTTTTTTTTCCTTTCTTTCTTTTAACTTTTTTTCCTTCTTATTTTTTTCTTTCTTCTTTTCTTTCTTTTCTTTCTTTATTTTTTCTTCCTTTTAGGTTCATTTTTCTTTTTTTAATCAAATTTTCTTTTTTCTTTCTTTCTTTTTCTTCTTTTTTTTCTCATTTTTTTTTGAATTCTTTAAGAATTTTTTCTTTCTCATTTTTTTTTCCTCTCTTTCTTTCTTTCAATCCATCTTTTTTTCCTTTTTCTTTTTTTTTTAAAATTTTTTTTGTTTTTCTTTTTGGATTTCTTTAATCTTTGATCTGTCACGTCAAGACAATATCTTTTTATTCTTCCTTTCTACTTTTCTTTTTATTCATGGCCTTAATTTTTTCTTTTTTTTTTCTTTTTTTTTTCGAACTTCCTTTTTCATTTTTATTTATTTCTTTCTTTGATTTTTCATTTTTTCTTTCTATATTTATTTTTTATTTTAAAATGTTCATTTCTTTACTGAATGTCTACAAATTCCTGTTTTATTTCAAAAACTTTTTCTTCTTGACTTCTTTTTTTAATTTTCTTTTTGAAAATAATAAATTCATTTTTTCGAAAAACAGGATTCAATCTTTTTTCTTAATTTAAAAGAATTTGTTAACTTTCAATGAGAAAAAAAAAGAAAACTTTTTTTTTTTCTTTCCACAGATTTTTCTTTCTCTAATATTTTAGAATTATGAAAATATCCCTTCTTTCTTTTTTTCCTAATGTTGATCTTCTTTGTTTCGAATTTTTTTTTTTTTGGAACTTCTTTCTTGTCTATTTCTTTCTTTTTCTTTGTTTTATTTCTTTCTTTTTTTTTCTTTTTTTCAAATTTTTTTTTCTTTAAATCCTTATTTATTTACAAAAAATAATTTTAGTTTAATTATTTTAAAATTACTTTAAATTTTTTTATTTTTGGGAAAAATTTTCTTCAGGGTTCTTCTAAAAATCCAAAGACGGATATGCTTCTAATGAAATTTTTTTTTTTTTTCGTCTTTTCGCTTTCTTTTCTTTTTTGTTTCTCTTTTCTTTTTTTTTTTTCTTTCATGGTAACTTTTGGAATCTTTTGCTTTCGCTGGTTCCCGGACTTCTTTTTATTTAAAAGGTTTCGGAAAATTTAAACAGATCCTAAAGGACACGGGCAATTCAGAAAGATTTTTTTTTTTAAATTTTTTCATTCAAGTTTAGGATATTTTATTTTACAAAAAACCAGAAATAGTGGAAACCATGATCGAACATAAATTATTCCTTACAGGAAGGACTTTTGTCAGTTTGGGTTTGTAAAATGGATGAAAATCAAATCTTTACAGACTATAGTTTCATTGATTTTCCATTCTCTTTCATTTTCTTTTTTCAAATTGAATTTTTTCCTTTCTTTCTTCAAATATTCCCATTTTTCAATCTTTTTAAGAACCACTCTGCAACACATTTCAAGAAGGAAAATACCTTTTCTTTATTTAAAAATTTTTTTTCATTTTTTCTTTTTTCCTTTTTTTCTTTCCTTCCTTTCAAAAAAAAATTTTTTTATTTTCTTTCATTCTTTTCTTTTTTTTTTTTTTTTCTTTCTAAAATTTTTTTCCATTTAATTTATTTTATTTCTTTCTTTCTTTCTTTTTTTTTCGAAAAAAATTTTTACATTTCATTTCAAAATTTCATTTATCTCATTTTTCTTTCAATTTCTTTTTTTTTTTCT